CAGGTGTTATACTCAAAATTCTGTCAGTTGAAATGTAACCAATCACAGGCAAGTAGGCCTCTGACGTCATGCCAGACAGAGGAGCATCAAGCATGCTCCCAGCAGCAGCTTCAGTTATCCTCACAGGCTCAGAGTAGAAGGACCTCGGCTAGGCAGATATATACCTTGCTATCTAAGTCAATAAATATATACAGAAGCGACAACTGAGTCTACATTCTACCCGAACAAGGCAAACGAATACAGGGTTTGTTCATTTGTTGCATCACGTGTTTGTGATTTCTGAGTGTAATGATATGAATGATTCCAGGTTTTCAGGCAGGTCATTCACAACATCTTCACAACAACAGTATCGATCCCCGTGGTCCACCGCACCTCACTAATGTCCATTCTGATTCTGCCTTTCTCACAATGGATCTGTTTACCAGATCCAGTCTAGGATCATCCTAACTATCCAAGCGCACTTCTTCATTCTATTGCAGCTCTTTTCTTTGGTTGTTCGCCCTGATACTTTACACGCAACAGCTGTTAGTTACACTGGTCTCGTAATTATTAATCTGTAAGTCTTATTTTGTCACAGGTCAATATTTACTTCTTTTTCATGTATTGTCGGTAGTTAATCAGTTTTTAATGATCGAGTGTATGTCCTGGTTATTGATATGTTCGGTATATTTGTCTCGGTTGTTTTTCCACAGTTTCCATGGTGATACCTGGCCTTCAGTACGTTTTAAATCATGTTACAGTTTTCTTGCCTAGTCCCACCTGATACCTCTCTCACTCAACGTCTCTCTCTCTCTCTCTCTCTTTCTCTCTCTCTTTTATCTCTGTCTCTCTCTCTTTTATCTCTGTCTCTCTCTCTCTCTCTCTCTCTCTCTCTCTCTCTCTCTCTCTCTCTCTCTCTCTCTCTCTCTCTCTCTCTCTCTCTCTCTCTCTCTCTCTCTAGTCCTGGTCACCTGACCATTTGTAGTCACTATGCTGGAATGGCTGACCCATCAGTATGTACAAGTCCAGGGGAAATTAATCCCGTCCCATACACGAGCCAGGTCCCCGTACACAAGCCAGGTCCCCGTACACAAGCCAGGTCCCCGTACACAAGCCAGGTCCCCGTACACAAGGCAGGTCCCCTTACACAAGCCAGGTCCCCGTACACAAGCCAGGTCCCGTACACGAGCCAGGTCCCCGTACACAAGCCAGGTCCCCGTACACAAGGCAGGTCCCCGTACACAAGCCAGGTCCCCGTACACAAGCCAGGTCCCCGTACACGAGCCAGGTCCCCGTACACAAGCCAGGTCCCCGTACACAAGCCAGGTCCCCGTACACAAGCCAGGTAACCGTACACAAGCCAGGTCCCCGTACACAAGCCAGGTCCCCGTACACAAGCCAGGTCCCCGTACACAAGCCAGGTAACCGTACACAAGCCAGGTCCCCGTACACAAGCCAGGTAACCGTACACAAGCCAGGTCCTGGGACTCGCTGCTACTTCTTAATCTTACCATTAACGTAGTCTTGGTGTACAAGGGAAGGGCGGGACGACTCCTATCCTCTTCTTCAAGGGAAAGTGCAGCGCTTTTGCTGCACTTTCTGTGGATGGGGGGGGGGGGGGGGGGGGGCATTAATGGCTCTGCCTCCTTCTGCAGCAGCTGCTACGTAGGTGGAGGGCAGGTGGCAGTCCCCTGTGGGGGAGGCAAGGTGTGGTGGACCTTTTCCCCCTATTCGTTGTTAGGGGCGGGGGGGGGGGGGGGGGGGGGGGCGTGGGGGGGGGGAGGGGGAGGACGTCCCTGCGCTGCGGTTAAAAGGCATCTTTAAAAAACTAGCACGAGCACCTGGCTGTGCTTTTGATCCCTGATTCCCATTTTCAGCCCCTGTGCTTGGCTTCCTGCCCCCTCGCTACCAACCCCCCCCCCCTTACCCCCCTCAATACCCTCTTTGCCACCTACGGCTCACTACCTCCCCTACCCCTTTGTACCAGCTCTACCTGGCCACCTGTGTGGGCGTACTCACCTGTTGGGGCTCACAGGACCGAGCTGTTAGCTCTTTGTCTTCGATTGAGTAGTTTATCAATAACTCTCATAACTCTTCCCTCCCCCTTCTCTCTGTCTGTCTCTCTCTCTCTCTCTCTCTCTCTCTCTCTCTCTCTCTCTGTCTCTCTCTCTCTCTCTCTCTCTCTCTCTCTCTCTCTCTCTCTCTCTCTCTCTCTCTCTCTCTCTCTCTCTCTCTCTCTATCTATCTCTCTCACTCTCTCCCCTTTTCTCTAATTTAAGACCTATTTTTGGTGCAAACTTCTGAACCTTTTCGAGTTTCCTTAAGTGTTATTTTTGTTTATAGCTTGGGGTCCAGGACGGGACAGCATTCTCTGTGCCCGGTGCCATGTAAGCGGTGTACGCGGCTCTATATAAAGGCCTCCTTTTTTAGCTTCCCGAATTGTTATGACATTTGCTAGCGAAGAGAGTATGCTGCTGACGTCATGCTGTTTAATAATAATAATAATAATAATAATAATAATAATAATAATAATAATAATAATAATAATACTATAATAATAATAATAATAATGCATTATGTTGGGGACAGGTAGCCTGAGTATATATATATACATGTTAGGCTTATATCGAGGGCCCCCCCCTTACCCCTGAGGTGGCACTACTGACCCTCCCCCAGCATGCTACCCTACAAAAGGCTGACTAACTCCCTGGTACCTATTTAGGGCTTAGGTGAATAGGTGGATTAGGTGACAGGAAACACGCCCCCCCCCAGCCATTTCAGGGCCTCGTGAGTTAGGTTTGATGTTATGGTAATGACTCAAAGGTCGCTTCTTGAGGGGTTACTGGGAGATAGTTCCCTTCATTGTGTACCATCACTTTGTACCGTCTTTTTTGGTCTCCTGTCTCCCGTCACCTTACAGCAAAGGCCTGACCAATAGATCTGAAAATGTGCACTTGACGACGTTTCGGTCCTGTCTTGGACCGGACAGAAACGTTGTTAGTTGTTTATTTTTAAATGAGTGGGTTGTGTGTGTGTAATTTTCAGCCACATTATTGTGATTTATTTTCTGCCTCACCTTACATTTAGTGGTGTTGAACTCCAGTAGCCATTTTTCATACCAACTCCACAGCTCGATTAAGTCATCATGGAGAATCATGCAATCATTATCTCTCTCAACTCTTCTCATTAATTTCGTATCGTTTGCATTATCGACATACAAGACTCAACTCATATATATAGATAGGTCATTAATATAATTGAAAAATAGTACGGGTCCCCGTACCGATCCTTGAGGTACTCCGCTTGGTACCCAAAACCAGTTTGATTTCTCGCCTCTTTACAATGACTTTCGGGCTTCTGTCTGTTAGGTATCTCCTAATCCATGTCAGTTTTGCTCCGCGGACCGCGGTTTGTCTCTATTGGTTGTGTAGTAAGTTTAGTGCGTGGTACTGAGTGGAGGTGCCTTTTGGCAGTCCCCAAAATATGTAATCTACTCAACCTTCTGAATATCTATGTGTGAACTCTCCTAGTTGTGCTTGCGGGGATGAGCTCTGGCTCTTTGTTCCCGCCTCTCAACTGTCAATCATCTGGTGTACATGTTCCTGACCCTATTACGCTTTGTCATATCTACAATTGAAACTGTGTATGGAGTCTGCCTCCACCACATCACTGCCTAATGCTTTCCATTTGTTAACTACTCTGACACTAAACAAAACCTTTCTAATGTCTTTATGGCTCATCTGGGAACTCAATTTCCACCTGTGTCCCCTAGTATGTGTCCCCATGTGTTAAATAAACTGCCTTTCTCTACCCTATCAATTTCTTTGAGAATCTTGTAAGTGGTGATCATGTCCCCCCTAACTTTTCTGTCTTCCAGCGACGTGAGATTTAATTCCCGTTGTCTCTCTTCATAGCTCATACCCCTCAGTTCGGGCACTATTCTGGTGGCAAACCTCTGAACCTTCACCAACTTAGTATTATGCTTCACGAGATATAGACTCCATGCTGGAGCTGCATACTCCAGGATTGGTCTGACATATGTAGTATACAAAGTTATGAATGATTCCTTACAGAAGTTTCTAAAGGCCGTACTAATGTTGGTCAACCTGGCATATGCCGCGGATGTTATCCTCTTGATATGGGCTTCAGGGGACAGGTCTGGCGTGATATCAACCCCCAGGTCTTTCTTTCTCTCTGACTCTTGAAGAATTTCATCTCCCAAATGATACCTTGTATCTGGTCTCCTGCTCCTTACACCTATCTTCATTACATTTCATTTGTTTGGGTTAAACTCTAACAACCACTTGTTCGACCATTTGTTGGACCATACCCACACACAACCATGTGTGTGTGTGTATGTGTGTGCACTCACCTAGTTGTGCTTGCGGGGGTTGAGCTCTGGCTCTTTGGTCTCGCCTCTGAAGCGTCAAAACATTGACATCATCTGCCGTTATTACATGTCTTGGGTGTGAGTTCTCGAGGCTACACACACACAATGAGCCACAGAGATATTAGAAAGAACATTTTTAGTGTCAGAGTGGTAGACAAATGGAATGCATTAGGCAGTGATATGGTGGAGGCTGACTCCATACACAGTTTCAAGTGTAGATATGATAGAGCCCAATAGGCTCAGGAACCTGTACACTTGTTGATTGACGGTTGAGAGGCGGGACCAAAGAGCCAGAGCTCAACCCCCGCAAGCACAACTAGGTGAGTACAACTAGATGAGTACACAGACACACACACAAACTCACGCACGCATTTCTTGTTACGTTCGTGCTCGTCACTGGCTCTTTGCGCACATAACAGGTTTCCCTCTGGCGATGAAAATTTCCTCTTTGGTGAAAGTTATCCTCTGAGAGGTGACAGTTATCCTCCAGAGGGCGAGTTATCCTCTGAGAGGTGACAGTTATCCTCCAGAGGGCGAGTTATCCTCTGCTCTTTTTGTTTTGCTCTGTGAGTCACGAAGTTTTTCTCTTTGGGTTAAATGTTTTCCTGTGGGGGAGAGACAAAGTTATCCTCTAGGGCGACAGATGAAAGATTGCGGTAAAAAACTTTAAACGAGAAAAGAAAGGTCGTACATTTGGGCCCAGTTCTTCAACGGGTGAGAGTGTGTTGGGAATGTATTTAAAATTTCCCCTTTGGAAGGTTGCTTCGGGTCGCTGGAGAACTGGAAGGTTGCTCCGGGCCGCTGGAGAACTGGAAGGTTGCTCCGGGCCGCTGGAGAACTGGAAGGTTGCTCCGGGCCGCTGAGAAACTGGAAGGTTGCTCCGGGCCGCTGGAGAACTGGAAGGTTGCTCCGGGCCGCTGGAGAACTGGAAGGTTGCTCCGGGCCGCTGGAGAACTGGAAGGTTGCTCCGGGCCGCTGGAGAACTGGAAGGTTGCTCCGGGTCGCGGAGAACTGGAAGGTTGCTCCGTGTTGTTGGAGAACTGGAAGGTTGCTCCGGCTCGCTGGAGAACTGGAAGGTTGCTCCAGGTCGCTGGAGAACTGGGAGGTTGCTCCGGGTCGCTGGAGAACTGGAAGGTTGCTCTTGGTCGCTGGAGAACTGGAAGGTTGCTCCGGGCCGCTGGAGAACTGGAAGGTTGCTCCGGGCCGCTGGAGAACTGGAAGGTTGCTCCGGGCCGTTGGAGAACTGGAAGGTTGCTCCGGGCCGCTGGAGAACTGGAAAGTTGCTCCGGGTCGCTGGAGAACTGGAAGGTTGCTCCGTGTTGTTGGAGAACTGGAAGGTTGCTCCGGCTCGCTGGAGAACTGGAAGGTTGCTCCAGGTCGCTGGAGAACTGGAAGGTTGTTCCGGGTCGCTGGAGAACTGGAAGGTTGCTCTTGGTCGCTGGAGAACTGGAAGGTTGCTCCGGGCCGCTGGAGAACTGGAAGGTTGCTCCGGCTCGCTGGAGAACTGGAAGGTTGAAACCCTGGACTTATCGGGGAACCATTCTGGAGTCATGGGGAAGCTACAGGTCTACTCTAAAACAACCAAACTGCCGAGGAAATTGAAACAAGTCACTCCAGTACCTTCGGTGGCTTTTAACCAGTGATGGAACCCTGACGACTGCCATAAATGGAAGTATTTTCCCCTCCCTGCCTCCTACCAGAGCCCCAGAACCGCTGATCCTACCAGAGGCTTCAAGCACTCTGCTGCCTCTTTATACCCAAGAGGACTTCGTAGTCTCCGGCCGCGTGCATGGTCGCCACGAACACTTCGAGTCCACCGAAGAAATTATCTCAGCACTCACAATGGCGTCACCAGTATCTTTTTTACCGAAGCTTGGATACTGACCTGACCGAGCATGCTGACTCAGGTAAGGAGTCAGAGGTATTAAGACTGACGATAAGTAAAGGGCAAAGATTATGAGACGCGAGGATGATTTTGATCTTACTGGATGTATGTGGGAGATGCTCCCACGCGACAATTGACAGTTTCTGACAAAAAAATCGTTAATCTTATCTATATTGACCGATTTTTTAAAAGTAATTAATTCGAAAAAAAAACGCGTCCAACACAACTCAACTGTCCACCACAACGCAACTGTCCACAAGTACATAAATGAACACTAAAACTGTTTCCAAATGCCCACAATTAATGGGCCCACGCCTCGCCGGCCACTGGCTACCTGTCAACTAATTTCCATAAACAAAAAAAGTTAACTTGATACTTGCAGAGTTCGTCTCGAAACGTTTCGTTCACTGTTGTTTGTCCCACATACACCCACTTCCCACCCAACCCACTGTCTCGCCCACACCAACATTCTAATTTTTCCTCAATCCTTAACTGCGATGTTTCGCACTATAAAATTTATTGTTTCTGTGTGCGTGTTTTTTTATGTACATTTATGTAGACTCCACACACACACACACACACACACACACACACCAC